CTGCACCATTCCAGGCAGTTGGAACCACCAGAAGGAGGAATGGGCCTCATCTTGTTTAGAGCAGATGAGGTAGGGACGAATGCCTGGGTCACAGGCCAGAGCCGCCTTGCTGTATTAAGCCCAAAACTTCTCTGGGCTGTTCCTTCATAGAGTGGGTGCTCAGGACCCAGAATACTACACCTCCTAGTTTTCCCAGACAGAAACCTAGAAAGTCTGGCTGGAGAGGACACTTATCGCTTGCTTTGTTCACCTGTCTTGAGGGATAGGTGCTTTCTGGCCCCAAATTGAACTACAGAGTTTTCCTGCTGTGTGACCATCCTCCTCCTCTTTCTTGGACCCTCTTCTCAACTCCTTCCTTCCTCTCTTAAGACAGCAGCTTCTGTAACGTTTCTCAGAAAGGCCTTGGCCAGCACTAGCAAGGGTAGGTCAGGTGGTCAAGCCCCTGGTTGATTTATGATGCTGCCCCCAGAGAGAGAACTATTTAACTGCAGGCAACCTGTGCCTCCACCTGGGGTTCAGGTTCTATCTGAGGTGTGGCTTAAAGGCAAAAATCAACCTAAGGCGAAATTTGCCTCATTGGCGGTTTGCTACTGTTGCGCGTGTTTCTTCCTAAGTGACTGAGATCATGAGCCCTGCCTGGCAGATAAAGAGAGCTGATGTTTCCTTAGCCTCTTAGGGCACTTCCCTAAGGGAGTGTTGTCAAGTTGAACAGGAGTGTGCTTTCTTATTGCAGGTCCCCATCTCCACCCAAGAGACCTGTGGGTGTTCCCAAGAGCTGCTGGCAGAGTTCAGGGAGACTGGCTCTGCTCAGTTAATGACTAGAATACAATGCGTTTAATGCTTCTTGACTTTTAACCTGTTTTCTTCTAATGCACCAGCAAACTAGTCCACTGGTTAGGTGTTAGCAGTCCATTTAAGCTGAGGCATGAAGCAACCTAAGAGCTGAGACCTCTGCTCTCTAGAGGACCAAGAGGTGCCTGTGTGTGACACAGGACCAACCACTTCAGTGTGTGTGATGAACTGTATGGTGCTCCGAAGCCCAGCAGGGCTTCACCAGCCCCTGGTGAGTTTTAGCCGTCTTGTCTTGCTTATTTACTTCACAAATTTGTCCTCTTAGCAAAGGGAGAAAAGTCTCTTTAGCTATAAATACCTATATGATATGATAGGAACCGGGCAAACTCAAAGGAAGAAAGAGACTAGGGTCTCCTATTTATTGTGGGTAAGAAGGGGTGGGGTGGGGTGAGTGAAAAGGTAAAAAGCATCTGGTACTTTCCCTGGTGGTAGCACAGTTTAACCATAGGCCAGTTGTAGAGGCCTGTGAAACACCTGCAAACCCAGCCTGACCAAGCCCTAGCTGCCCCTAAACTGCCAAAACTGAAGAACTGCCCAGGTCTACTGTTGTACTCCCTTCAGAAAACAGTAATGACAGTCAGTCACCCAACTACAGGGATGGCCAAAATGCTTTCACTCCCTAGCTTTGCCAGCTCGTTGCTCCACAAACTCCCAGGACCCCTAACGTTCCAGCTCCACCAAATCTACTCTGGAGCTGCCTTCTTGCTTTAGAACCCAGGATAGAGAGAGGCGTGCAGAGTGGACAGTGCCCTGAGCACCTCCCTCTGCCCCCTGCCCAGTCCTCCTCGGGGCGAGCAGCAGACCAGGGTTAGATGCTGTGACTAAGCTGCTTTTCTCCCCAGAGTGCTTTATTTGGGCAGAACGTGTTCTCACCCCGTCCTGGGCTGCCTCTCTTGGAAGGCGTCTTTATTGCCTGGCTAGAGCTACAAGGAAAGGGACAGACCCCACTTTGGTAAAAGAGAACAGGGAAAGGCCATAAACAAAGAAAGACAGACTTGTAGTTTATTTTGTATTTTTTTTTAAATAAATACACTTTACATTAAAAGGCCTTTGATTTGTACTTTCCACATTGGGGAGAAAGGGAAGAAAAAAAGATTTTTGAAAAACTGAATCACAAAGAAAAATAGAGGGAGTGAACTTATATCCTAAGTTCCCTCAACTCCACAAAACCAATATCCACAATGACCTTGCTGCCCCACCCCCCACCAAACCATGAAGGTGGGTAAGCCTAGGCATTTACTCAGCAAACAAGCAGCACCTCCTCCCCACCTCTGGCACAAAGGAAAACAAATTAACCTGACAGCATATGAGGCAACAAAACAGGTTAAAAAAATCATATATTATATTTATAATAAAATATTCTTAATCCTTATCAATTTAAGAAACCACGGTTTTCCTTTTCATTTAAATACGTATGTAAAAATGCCTCTATTGTTATTTAGACATCATTTTCTTCCATAGAAAATGAACTGCAGGGACAAGAGACCTGGTGGATATAAGTTCATACCCTCAGTTATAAATGCCTTTTTTTTTTCTTTTTAAGTTTTATAAAAAACTATTTCTTGTTCTTTAAGTAAAGAACATTATACAAAGAAAATATATTGTGAAATAACCCCAGAGACGTGTTGGGTTTTTTTTTTCCCCCTTGAGGAAAGATATGTCCATCCTAGGAGAAGGGGGAAGCAGAATAGGGCCTAACCCCTGTTGTCTTTTTTTTGTGTGGTTATTGTTTTTAGAAGGACTCAGATTCCAGTGAGACTCTAAATCATAATCCTCTGAATGCAGGGCATGCAGTTCCTTAAAAGAGCCCTGGGAGAAAGGGAAGGGAAGATGTTTTGAATTCATTTGACTCAGTTTCTCGCCTGCCAAGAATCTCTTCCACGTGGTGATGGCTCCTCACTCATTTAGAGATAAGATGATGTCATCTTCCAAATCAGAGTTGTCAGAGCTGTCGGCTGAAAGGTAAGGAAAGGGAGAGACTAGATTACGCACTAGGCTTGTAGGAAGCTTTCAGGGAGAAAGCACCTGCATACACATAAATTTATGCCTGAGCATGGTTAATTACCAGTTTCCTGAAAGAAGAAAACATGTCAATTAACTCCTCAGAGCTGACTCTGGAAAATATACTGTTTGGGCAATGATGGTTACTCCTGGGACCTCTTGCTTGCTTACCTTTCAAAGGACCTGGACATGGTACCCTCTTGCTTCCTAGAGGTTCTTCCTCCTGCCTGAAAGGCCCTAAAGGGACCAGGCAAGCCCCCTCTGAAGCTTTCGCCCATGGTGCTTTGAGTGGCTGCAAAGGGGCAGGGCTGATAGGATCAGTGAGTGAGCCTGTGTAGTCCTTTGGCCTCTGGAGTCCCTCCGGTGGGCACAGGCCTGCCTGACCCCCACGACCACTAAAAAGGCAGGCTGAGCCCAAGCAAGGATGAGACTTCTCTTAAACTCGTCAGCCATTCTCTTCTCAGAAGACCTCATAAAGGCAGAGGTAGTCAACCTGGGATTCATTCCTCTGAAATTTCTAAATATAATCTGAAGGGAACAAATTCCCAAAAGATACAAGCCAGAGCTTGCAGCAATACGAGAAAAACTGGGCTGGAGGCCAGCAGGGAGTAGCTGTGGCACCCTGGAAGGTGGCACTGTGTCTGACCCTCTGCTTGACCATCTACCTTCCAGGCAGTGAATAGACCACATGAACACCTCTGGAAGGATCCATTAAGAGGTGAAACTAGGTGGTAACAGAACCCTCAAAGTGAGGTAGATGCACCTGTCTGGATGACAGAAATCGGAGAGAAAGATAGTACCTAGCTCTAGTATTTGCTGAGTGAAGGTAAAGGAAAAATTCTAGTGCCCATTTTGATCACTCTCAGCTTAGGAAGCTGTGAAACAATTTTAACAAGGTCCCCAGGGAAATGGGCCAGCAGGTCCTGAGCTGGAGCCCTGAAAACGCCCATAGGCCCTGGGGTTCCCATGAGGAGAGGGACAGCCACTGGTTCCAAAGAATCCCTCATCAGCCCTTTCCCACGTACCTGAGAGACTCCACTCGGGGAAAGCTGATGAAGAACTGCATGTTCCCAAACCTTCCATTCACTACAATCTCCTTTAGGAAGAAAACTGAAGTGGATAAAGTAAAACCAAGAAAAGCATGGCCGTGATAAAATGAAGTCCTGAAGGTAAGCAAAAGTGATGGCTGGAAAAACCAGTGTTCCTGGGTCTAACGGCACAAGCATGGCTTGACTTTATTGGTGAGGAGTAGGGAAAACAAGATGGAGATCAAACTAATACCTGACACCGCTAAACCACAAACTAAGCCTCATCAGCTTCCTTGCTGAAAGAACTCCAGGAGGAAGTGAGCAGGGAAGGGGGTGACTCAGGCACAGCACTGTGTCCAAGGCCCGTGGCAGACTGCAGAGAATCCCCTCATGCTCATGCGATCTATGAACCAACATTGCCACACCCACCTGCCTGAGACCTATTCTAACCATCAGCTGTAGAGCTACTAAGAATTAAGAATCTTAACAACTTTGCATCACACCCAAGGACTGTAAATGCAGCTGGAGGAGGAGAACACAATCTTCCATAAGCAAATAATTGTCAGGCACAGGGTTTAACAGAACTTTCAGGGGTCAGGGGTGGTCAGGTGGCAGGACTCCCTTTCTCTACCTTCCTTAGCCTTTTCTCATCCTCCAAATGTTGAAGAGACCCGAACTCAGACCCTGGTGGGGACCTCTCCCTCTGAAAGGCCCTGGAAGCAAAGGCAGTCAGTGTTAGTCCCTACCATGTTTATTTAACCTGTTGTTCTACAACATACAGGCCTTTGGGGGCGGGGGGGTCAGAACTGACTGGAAAGAGAAACAAAGACCTCAGAGTCAAGGTGTCTCTCTTCCTAGGGCTGGGGTTCTGTATATGAAATCAATCATTGGATCTCTGGGATCTGGGGCTTATGCAAGGTTACATGGGGGGCATGTGGGTGTGGTTTTCTATAGTTACAACAGCTTTCATCATATCCTAAAAGGGCTCCATAAACCCCGAAAGGTTAACAGCTAATACACCAGATGATTAGTGTAAGGCAGAATATCAGCAAACCAAGGATACGGAGGGTGGTCCTTGTGTCTGCTCTGTTTCGAGCCGCTATCAGTCTCTGTAAAACAGAGAAAGCAATAGAGTACATATGCTGCACATGCCACCACCTCAGTTCTAGAGCCCAAACTGACATGTCCTCAACTTGTCATCTATAATGGCACTTTTACATCATAAATATTCCCACCAAGTTAAAGTAACATTATTCTCTGATAGAATTAGGGTTTTCCAGATTACCTCTTGGGCTTAAAAGAATGAATTTCCTAGAATAACCAGTAAAAGGCTATAAAGGAAGCAGTAATTTTACAGGCCAAATACAAAATTAATTTATATTCAAACTGAGAATGGAAAAATTAGTGATACTCTTAGGTCGGGGGTACCAGCTGCTCCCCTAACCTACCTTATATTACTTACAATTGAAGGGAAACAGAACTTGTGCCCACGTGTCACAGGTGACAAAGAAGTTTAGTAAAACTTTTCTTTTTATTCCCATCAATATTGTCATGTTTCCCTTGCCCCTGAGTCCCTCTTACCCGGCTCTCTGACCATCGCTAGGGACAAAGGAAATCCTCCTTCAATGAATCATCTCAACCTCCAAGTACCAAAAAATGGAAGTTGGCAAACAGCAGATGGGCAGATACAAGGCAATCCCTCCCACCCCACAGAGCTTCCTCAAAATGCAACTTTGGCAAGAGGACTTAGGTAAGAAAGTCAGTCTCCCCTAAGCCAACTGCCTTCAATCTTGAGCTCTAGAAGCATGTATAAGATTTATCCCAAAGAAAATGGATTTAGGTCACTGTGGAACAGGAGAATCTTATACATATATGCTTAAATATATATACTGCCACCCACCCTCTCCTCTCCTACCATACATACACACTCCCTCCCTCCCACTGCCCCCAACACCAAACACCAATGACTAAAAACCAAGCATCTACTCTGAAGAGGCTTGGAGTTTGCTGAGCTTAGGCCAATACAATAACATTTTCTGTAATGATGTAAATGTTCTATATCTGTGCTGTTCAATATGGTAGCCACATGTGGCTACTGAGCACTTGAAATGTAGACATGAAAATGAGGGACTGAATTTTAAATTTAATTAAAATTCTAATGGCCACAGGTGGTTACTGGCTACCATATTAGGCATAATACCTACCTTGGCTGTGAGAATGCTGGCCAGGTTAGCTACATGAAAAATGACTGAATATCACAGTGATTACTCCCCAGTCAGGCAGGGCAGCACTAGGAAGAACCAGGACCACAGCAAGCATGAGTCTGTCAACAGTGACACAGGTCACAGTGATGCTGCCATATATGTCCTCTTAAAACATGCAGAGTATAGCAGCAGAGCTCGCAGACTCTTAGAACTATTAGGTGATTTACTCAGGGTCTATTAGTATAGGCAGGGGACAACCTGACTTCAGAAACCTGTTCTAATGAGAAGGTACTGGAAAAACTGGAGCTTGTTCTTCAAAACTTGGAATAGGAAAGGGGGGTGGGGGGGAAGGAACAAAACAGAAGCCAAAGAGAAACATCTGTTCCCTGGCCTTTAAGAGGGATTAAGCAAAAGCAGGCAGGAAGGGGCTGCAACCCACAAGAGGGCTTTTATTTCTTTACAACTTTAGAAAAGAGCAGGTACAGCACCCCCATGAGCAGCTGCATCTGATGATGTCAGCTCTGCCTCTTGGGAGAACTACACTTTTGCCCTCCAGTCTAAGGCTAATCCTCTGAAGCAGGGGTCGACAAACCTATGGGCCAAACCAAGACCCATGGGCCAAACCAAGACCACCAGCTATTTTTGTAAATAAAGTTTATTAGAACACAGCCACATCATTAATTTATGTCTTGTCTCTCTGGCCGCTCTCACACTACAAGAGCAAAGCTGAGTAGCTGCAAAAGAGACCATTCAGCCCAAAAGCCAAAATTATTTACTGTCCAGCCTTTGTAGAAGTGTGCCAACCCCTGTTTTAAAGAGATAATAGCCATTTGGTTACAGAGTCGTCATGACAGGAGCACTGAGGATGAGAGATGTGAAACTGCTTTTCCTCAAGGGCCCAGGTGGTGACTCTAGTTAATGGGGCACAGAACCCTGGTGTGGCTTGCCCGCTGGGCTGGCACAGGGAAGGGCCCTTTCCCTAGGTACCCAAGCCCAGCCTCGTGGTCAGCCCTAGACTTACTGTCCCCCAGGATCAGTTCCACTTCCTCATCTGCATCAGAGTCTTCATCTTCTCCGTCCTCTCCCTCCTCTAGCAGGTTTGCTAGCTCCTCATCAGAGGGAGAAAAGTCATTGTCGCCATCCTCCCCTGCGTTCTCATTGTTGTCATCCTCCTCCAACTCCGCCTCCAGCAACTGGTCAGTGTCAAGCTCATCTAAATCATCAGTGTCGTCATCATCTTCATCGTCATCTTCTTCCTCCTGTTCTTCCTCTTCCTGGTAAGAGAGCATGAGGTCCATTAGGACAAACACAGAGACCCAGCCCATGTGGGCCACATGGGCAGTCTCTCTCCTCCTTCCCAAAGGACAGAGGAGGTAACAGTCAGTAGAGAGCATGGTAACCTAGGTTAGCACACACTTCATGGGCCAGCTTGACTCGTCAGTGGAGGCTGAGACAGGCACATACATGTCCCCCAAGACACTCAAGCACTCCTCAGACAAGGACTACTGGTCACTCCACGAAGGCATTACTGGTCATGCAGCCCTTATCTAAGGAAATGGACAACACACTTCACAGAGGTCTCTGCCATCAACATTCTATGTTTCTAACTAATAATAAACCCCAAAGGGCTCTTCTCTCTATCCTCTATCAACCAAACCAAATGAAATCACTTGAGGCACCGGAACTAAAGCTTCTACCTGGAATCTAAAAAGCAGTGCTTTAATAAAACAGGAAGAACACAGCTGCTGAGTCACCAGCTCCTAAGCCCTTCAAATTCTTGTCCTTGATCTTATTTATAACCATGTATGTGGGTCAGCACCTCTGACGGTGCTATCACAAGCATCCAATGATCTGAATGTCCAACAAAATAGACTTTTACCACTAAAGAGATACTTGCATTTTCTGTTACAAGCCACACACACACCAAAAAAGTATGCTAGAGAAATTGTCCAGCCTTCTGTTCCCTCCAAACTGTTTCCCTTCAAGCAAGAGAGGACACGATGACATCTCTTTGCTTTCCTAAGAACGACAGGTGTTCCCAAGTTAAAGTGACCAACATTCAGTCACTAATCCTTCTGCTCAAACATCAACTGTCAGCACTGCCAGTAGCAAAAGGATTCTAATTCCTGCAATAATAAAATATAAAATTCATTTAACACACCAGCCTAATAAAAGTCAAGACAAAACAAGCCCTACATTAGCAGAAAAAATCTTTAAAAACATTTTGGAAGTGCTTTAAAAAAAAAGGGGGGGGGATATCCCCAGTGGAACAGTGGTTAAGAATCTGCCTGCCAATGCAGGGGACACAGGTTCGATCCCTGGTCCGAGAAGATCCCACATGCCACGGAGCAACTCGTGCACCACAACTACTGAAGCCTGTGTGCCTAGAGCCCATGCTCCGCAACAACAGAAGCCACCACAATGAGAAGCCCGCGCTCACCACAACTAGCAAAAGCCTTGGCGCAGCAACAAAGACCCAACACAGCCAAAAAAAAAAGTGCTGCCGCGTGCCAATCACTTAAAAACCAAACACTGCTTATCCAGCCACTAGTGTTCATCAGCTGTAAAGTAAACTAGGCTCATATTCATCAGGGTAGCTCTGCTTTATGAACTTTTGATAATTTTGGAACCACCATTTAGAGGCTTTTTGATTTGCTGTTTGACCCACTGATTTAGACTTCCCAACAATTTCTGGCAGCTACGTGGGAATAACTGGCCCCTTTAAATACCCAGTATTCCTAATGCCTGTAAAAGTATGTGTCCACACCAGAGTTTATATGTGCGCGTGTGTGTGAACGTACCGCCATGATAACCTGAGACCACTGTTCCACAGCCTGGCCACACATGACCTCCATGTGGACAGCTACTAAGCATCTGCCCACTGGAAAGGAACTGAGAATGCCTGAAGGCAGTAACAATAAACTGACGCACAGACAAGCTTCTGGCCCTACAAATACATCAGCTCATACAAATAACAAGGGAAAAGAGAGAGGAGTCAAAATTCAGGGAAATAATTCAAAGTATTTACCAGATTACAACTTTTGCCTCTTTTTTACACACGTTTTCAGGGATCTGACCAAAATTAGTTCTAATTAATAAAGTTCCTTCAGTTAAAAAGAAGCACATTAAAAAGAGTATCCAGGGCTTCCCTGGTGGCGCAGTGGTTGAGAGTCCGCCTGCCGATGCAGGGGACATGGGTTTGTGCCCCAGTCTGGGAAGATCCTACATGCCGCGGAGCGGCTGGGCCCGTGAGCCATGGCCGCTGAGCCTGCGCGTCGGGAGCCTGTGCTCCGCAACAGGAGAGGTCACAACAGTGAGAGGCCCACGTACCGCAAAAAAATAAAATAAAATAAAAAAGAGTATCAGCAAATTTAAGGAAGATTGTTCTTCATTTCTAAAAACATCAAAACTTAGCCGATCCAGGAGAACTAAGAAAAAGCTCCAAAGTCAAGAGCAATCCTAGAAAACAGGTCAACCAGGGTCTAAGGTTTGAACTACAGATACCATTCCAAATTCTTCCAGAAGCCTACTTTTACTTAATCTTGTAGCAGAAGAAATAATTTATATTTATTCATCCCAGAAGGCCATGATGACATATGTGACAACAGGAGAAGGGAAATGAATAGGAAGGGGAGACCTACCTGAATCTCAAACACATCACTTCATCATTTATCCTCTGGATTTAATGACCAGTGGTTTAACATGTATTTTGTTACACATGGATATGGCCATAAACTCACTTTCTAAATTTTAAATCTGAAACGTGGAGCATGAAACAGAACAGAGGCTCACAAGATCTATCCAAAGTGCTGTGGTGGAATCTAATTCTGTGGTTGAACCCAAAAGAGTCTAGGAAGCAATTTTAAGAGCATTCTTGCAGGTTTAAGTACCTGGTTAGTAACATGAGGCCCTCTCCTTCATATCTAGAGAATAAAGCTTCCACTAATGAGTGGTCAAAAAAGTGGTCCAAAAAACCAAAAATTATTACTTAATGAAAAAAGCAAATCTTGCTAGAATCCCGATTCAAGTCCAGCAACATTTAGATGTTTTGGATCCAGGAATATTGATTTTTTAAAAATTCTCTAAGACCTCTCTTTTAGAGCTTAGAAACAGGAATTCAGGGCCACGCTGTTTTAAACTAATAAATTCTCCTACAGAAAAAATTCTAAAATTCTTCCCTTCTTGGTTCCATCTTAAGTCAATTTCATGGTTAGCCAAAGGCCCAAACCCCTGCAGATAAATCAACCCACTCCTCTCCTGTACAGAGAACAGGTCAACTGGCATAAGCTCCCTCAGCTGCCCTCTGGTCCCTCACCACATCTAAACCTGACTTCAACCATAGTCTGAGGAAGAAGAAAGCCTTCCACTTCCGCTCTGGACCTCAGTCCACCCCCGGTCCTTATTACCATGCTGCACCTTCCTCATGCTCACTCACTCACAACCACCCTCACACTTGGCTCCACTAGCTTTCTTACCTTCTCTGAAGAAAGTCAGCTTCCCCAAACCTAACAACTTCTCAATCTACACAGGCTTTAAACTCCTTCCATCTATAGACTTTTGGGTAACCTGAACCCTACTCCTGGCCTCCAAGTCCTCAGCCACCACTTGCTCATTCATCCACTCACTCTGTCTTCTATTCCTCTAACACTTGACGGTCCGGCTTCTGCCCACAGCACTCCACAGTGTAGCAGGTAATGGTATGTGCTCTGGAACCAGGCTGCCTTACAGGATCCAAACTCTGCTGACACTATGTTTACTTAGCCTCATAGGGTTGTTGATAGGATTTAATGGGGGAAAAAATGTGTATACATGTATGTATATAATCTCTTTGGAAAGTGCCTGGCATATACTAAGTGGTCAGATAGTCTGTTGCTCCTAATAACTGGAAGCTTCCTAAAGGAATATGAAGGCCTGAATGGCTAACCATGGGGCTTCTCTACAATGACTGACACTAACCAATCCTGGCTCCCACACTGGGCTGCTGATCTTTACCTGATCCCTTCCAGATCTCCTAGGCATAAAGGTTCCTACAACTTAAAATTTATTTCTGCCTTTACATTTCCTCTCATTCATAAATCCTGAACTCACATTAGATAACTCTACCCATCTGTACCACAGAAACTTCTAAAACTGAACTCAAAGCACCCCCTAAACCTAGCACCTTTCCCACACTTCTCCCAGTTACCAGATGAAACCTCAAACATCTTTCACTTCTCCCACTTTCACGGCTTCGCACCCAGTTAGTTAATGTCACTCACAGACCTGGGGTGCCCAGCACTCCCCTCTCATTCCACTCACCTACTGCATTCTCCCTCCTCCTGTCTACCTCCAGTCTCTCCAACTGTCTATGGTCTTATCCCTTCCCAGATCAAAAAACCCAGGCACTCCATAATGCTGCCCACGTTACAGAATTACAACAGAAGCAATGATTACTAAACAACCATTTAATGCCAACTTCTCTAAATCTTAATTTCTTGTTAAATGAGAGGATTTAATTACATCACTGGTTCCTACTCAGGTATGGCCATCAGAATGTGTATTTTGGAGCACTGGGAAAGTTCTCCAAAATACACATGCCTAAACCCCACCCAGGGTCCAGGCTGACAGAACCAATCTTTACAAATTAAGCTCCAACAGGAGGATTTTGGAAAGGTGCCCCAGGAATTGTGGAGTGCACCGTAATGAAGAACCACTGTACAAGATGACCTCTGGTTCTAAAATTCTACTCTCCTGTAATAATGTACCCTATCCAAAGACTCCCAATGACAGAACCAAAAAAGTGAATACAGGCACCCCTTGTTTTACTGCAATTACACTTTGCAGATACTGCGGGGTTTTTAGTTTTTGTTTTTGTTTTACAAATTGAAGGTTTGAAGCAACCCTGCATCGAGCAAATCTATCAGCACTATTTTTCCAACAGCATTTGCTCACTTCATGTCTCATGTCATATTTTGTAATTCTCAGAATTTCAAACTTTTTCATTATTATTATATTTGTTATGGTGATCTGTGATCAGTGATCTTTGATGTTATTATTACAACTCCCTGAAGGCTCAGATGATGGTTAGCATTTTTGGCAATAAAGTATATTTTAATTAAGGTATGTACACCTAATAAACTACAGTACAGTGTAAACATAACTTTTATATGCACTGGGAAACCAAAAAAATTCATGTGACTTGCTATATTGCAATATTCGCTTTAATGCAGTAGTATGGAACTGAACCCACAATATCTCCAAGGTATTCCTGAATAGTTATTACCACTGACCTTCCCTCCTATCAAACTGTCTTGCTCTCTAGGACTTAATTTGATTTTCTTTTAACTAGTGCACCATTTGTTTCTAGACCATTCAAAATTCTTCTTGAATACATGTCTATTTTTCAAGAGAAACAGCTTTTAGCTTACACTGCCTTCAAAAATATAACCAATCTCTTAGAAAAACACCAAACCTCTCATCATACTTTAAAAACAGTTAATCTAAAAACTAGTATAGGGCTTCCCTGGTGGCACAGTGGTTGAGAGTCCACCTGCCGATGCAGGGGACACGGGTTTGTGCCCCGGTCTGGGAAGATCCCACATGCCGCGGAGCGGCTGGGCCTGTGAGCCATGGCCGCTAAGCCTGTGCGTCCTGAGCCTGTGCTCCGCAACGGGAGAGGCCACAACAGTGAGAGGCCCGCGTACCGCAAAAAAAAAAGAAAAAAAAAACTAGTATAGCTTTTTTTAAAATGCAATTAAAACCTGAGCCTACTGCCTTGACATTTCAACGTCATATTTGCAAAATTTAAACTCTTGCTTCTCCTCCTGACACTTGTTCCTGTTGTTAACTATCCTTAAAAGCTATAGATTCATTTCAGGGTCATAAACACTTGTGCTTTTCTCTCCTCATCAGCAGAATCTAATTCACATATATTTTAAATTTCTTAGTTGGGAAAAAAAGGCTTTTCAGGAATCACTGACCAAGCTTACAGCAGGTGTGTAATCAGTAAAGACTCTTACCATCCGCTTCTAGGCAGTGGAGAACACACAGGAAGCACAGCACACAGTGTGTCCCAGATTCCAAAGTGGAGTGGAGAAAAGAAAGATTATTCCCTTGTTTTGCTTTTGGTTTTAAAAGAAACTTAAGATTAACTATAATTAGTTGAAATGTATTGGCTTTTCAAAATCTAAGAACAATGATCAATTACTAATCTTTCGTTTTATAATTTTCCTGAAAGTTAACATCAAAGTTGACTGAATTGGTTTTTAAAAACAACACATATACCAAAATTCCAATGGATAATGAGTTTTGATAAGTGCCTAGCTTTATCTCTGCTTTCACCAAATGCCTGAAGGCTGGCAGGAATCAAATATTATAGCTGTCAAATACATTGTATTATGTTTTCATTCAACAATACAGTGGTACAGTTCATCCCTTCTTGTTAATCTCCAAGCTTATTTAAACAGAAGGGCAAAAGACAACCATTTTTATGTATGTAAATTATATCTCAATAAAGCTTTTTCAATCAATAAAAACCATTTATATAGGCACTTTATGCTAGACCATCTTATCAGATGGCAGCTGACCATTCAGGATTCTGAGTTTATTTTGCTAAGGTGAAAAGGCAAATTCAAACGTGTTGGTCACATGTGCCTGCATCCCTGAGCCATGCAAGTCATACCTGGAACATCTGAGAAGACCTGACAGCAGATATCTGGACTAGGACAAAACTCTGACTAGCAAATGACTCAAATGAAAATGAAGTCTCCAGTTTTAAAATCAGGTGAAGCAAACAAAGGAAAGTAAGTTAAAAAAAAATCAAGCTGATACAGGGAAGAGGTGATGAGGAGAAATCTGATGAAGATAGTAAATACAGGAAAACACCACTGCAAGATACTAAGAGGACATGTGAATCAACAGAATTAAGGTTACAAAGGAAGCCTGCTTAAATAGATACAGTATTATCACACTGAAACATATCTAAATCAAAAACCAAAATGTCAAGGGCTTAGGGGGAAAAAACTTCTCTAACGGATGTCCTTCGAACATGAAATGCACCAGCTGATCCCTAAGGACAGTGGTATCAGTATGTGCCATGCAATGTGCCTTGACCCTAAGAAATCCAGAAACAGTGCTAAGTCACTCACAGTGCACACCTACACAGACACCTACTCCTCTTCCAACTAGAAACCTTTCAGGCCCTTCCACAGACTGAGCCCTAGGGCCACTCATTAGGGCCCTCTTGAGTCTGTCCCTCTTGGCCTTGGCCGCCTATGCCTCTATTTTTCCTTCCTGAACCAGAGTCAGAAGTCCTAAACACCACCCTACCTCTCTCTAGTATCTTTCTCCCTTAACCTCTCAAAATGAAAGTTAAATAGAACCACAGAAGAATGAACCAGTCTCTTCTCTGACCCAAGCCTCCCTGTAGAGGGTGGAATGAGAAGAGAAGAACACTTAGGGTGTTCCTTTATGGTGGTCTCTTGCTTCCACAGCCAGCCACCCAAGATTCACTTCTCACCCATCACTCCAAATCTGCAAGAAGAATGAGGCCAAACCCAATAATAGCCCCCCAGCATCCAAAATATCTAGCTTCTCTTTTCTTGACCTCCTCCTCAAAGACAGACACCAGATATCACATGGACCCATGTGACAGCTCCCAGAGAAGACTGTTGCCCACTGCTTTGTAAACTGCAAGCATGTGGGAGAGTAGGAATAATGGTGTTGATAAATAACTTTAAATAAACCCAGTTTTTGCTTCAGATTTACAGTTCAACAAGTAACATCCAAGAAGCTTGAGACAAAACTGATATCTTGTAGTGATCTATAATGAGAGGGGTAGTGATGAATGAACCCATGGAGGATGAGACAGTCTGCAGCCACCTGTACCACTATAATATACCAACAAACAGCTTGACAACATCACCTTCTATACCTACTCAAGGATAAACTACATCTTGATTCACGACAGCTAAAGTGGAAAAGAGTATGCATTAAGGGAAGGTGGTGTCTAAGAGCCAAAGGCCACAAGAATAAAAGACCAGACACTATTAAGAAACTGACTCAAAGCAACTACATGACGTTTGGAGGATCTAATACCACTTGCAAGCTCTGGTATGAAGAAATACTAGCAACACATAGGAGTTAAACAGTGCTGCATTCAAGAAAACATGAAGATCCATGTCACAAATAAATCAAAGATCTCAAGTATCCATCTGAAGACCTCTCCCTTTTACCCAGATCTCACAACTCACATGAGGTTTAAATACTGTGGGATCCTCTCACCCATGAAACCAAGGAAATCACTGAGGACTCTATGGGCCAAGCAGCCGGGAAGCATTAAAGGAAATCCCTTCTATAATAGGGATTTCCTAGCTGTATCTGGTGAAGTGGTTTAAACTCTGGAACCTAACCGTCCTTTATAATAAATACGGTATTTAAAAACCTATGGTACTGCTTCTGGTTTCTAGGCACATAAGAAGCTAGAAGTTGCCACTCCACCTTAACAAGTAAAAAGCTGAACAAACTAAAAAGATCAGTAACTCTTCTTAGATTCGACAGAGAAGTGGGGTGACAGGGCAAACCACTGCCCCAAAATTGGAGAAATACAGAGAATTGCAACTTGCCAGAGCATAAACCCAGAAACACAAACCTCTACAGGAACCAGTACCAAGGAGGAAAACCTGAACTGTAACTGACCAGTGGCTGGAGACAATTCTGAGCAAAGTCTGAGAGATAAAAACTTCTGAGGCCAGTCATCAGGGCCCCCACACATTTGTGAGTTTTACCTCTGGAACTTGACCTGGTTCTGGTGGTGAATATTGGAGAAAAATCCCCTAGTGCTTCTGGCAGGGGGAAGGGAAAAGGTAACATTTTGAAATACATCACAGCATTCTGTTCTTAACAAGGGCTACCCTAAGGAGAAACTACTTAACCAGAGCTTGAACTGCTGAAGGAAGGGAAATACCCAATTCCAGCCCACTCTAGCCATCTATACCATCAAAAGGAGGTGGAAAAAAATGAGAAGATGTGTGAAGTTCACAGTACAGAGGTACAGACTCATTAAAAGACTAAGACCTAGTTATAAGACTAAAAAATGCTTCCCCTTCCTCCACATCTTACCACCACATTCTAAGGCCTACAACAGTTCCTTTTATCCAGCACATAATGTCCGGCTATCAAGAAAAATTACAAGGGACTTCCCTGGTGGCACAGTGGTTAAGAATCCACCTGCCAATGCAGGGGGCATGGATTCATCACTGGTCTGGGAGGATCCCATATGTCACAGAGCAACTAAGCCTGTGTGCCACAGTTACTGAGCCTGCACTCTAGAGCCCGTGAGCCACAACTACTAGAGCCCACGCACCTAGAGCCCGTGCTGCGCAACAAGAGAAGCTACCACAGTGAGAAGCCCACACACTGCAATGAAGAGTAGCCCCCGTTCACCGCAACTAGAAAAAGCCCATGCACAGCAACGAAGACCCAAGGCAGCCAAAAAGAAAGGAAGGGAGGAGAGGGGAGGCAAGGCAAGGGGAGGGGAGGGGAGGAAAAATTACAAGACATACTAAAAGGAAAAGAAAAACACAGTCTGAAAAGACAATGTAAGCATCAGAACCAGACTCAGATATGGGAAGGATTAACAGACCAGGAATTTAAAACATCTATGATTAAGATGCTAAGGGCAGGGCTTCCCTGGTGGCGCAGTGGTTGAGAGTCCGCCTGCCGATGCAGGGGACACGGGTTCGTGCCCCAGTCCGGGAAGATCCCACATGCCGCGGAGTGGCTGGGCCCGTGAGCCACGGCCGCTGAGCCTGTGCGTCCGGAGCCTGTGTTCCGCAACGGGAGAGGCCCACGTACCGCAAAAAAAAAAAAAAAAAAGATGCTAAGGGCTCTCTAATGGATTAAGTAGACAGCATGCAAGAATAGATGGACAACAGAAGCAGAGAGATGGAAGTTCTAAGAACCAAAAAGAAATGCTAGCAATCAAAAATACTGTGACAGAAATGAAGAATGCTTTTGATGGGATTTCTTAGTGGATGGACACTGCTAAGGAAAGAATCTCTGAGCATGAGGATATCTCAATAGACACCACCAAAACTAAAAAGCAAAGAGAACAAAGACTGAAAGACACAGAACAGAATATCCAATAACAACTGTGGGATAACTACAAAAGGCATAACATACATGTAGTGGAAATTCTAGAAGCAGAAGAAAAAAAAAGAACAGAAGAGATACTTGAAACAATAATGACTGAAAATGTCCCCCAAATTAATGTCAGATACCAAACCACAGATCCAGGAAGCTCTGAGAAAACTGAGCAAAATAAATGCCCAAAAAGACCCCACACCTAGTGACATCATTTTTTAAACTACAGAAAATCAAAGATAAAGAATAAATCCTGAAAGAAACCAGAGGGGAAAAACATCTTACCTATAGAGGAACAAAGAAAAAAATTATACCCAGTGTGTCCTCCAAAACCAGGAAAGCAAGAAGAGAGTGGAATGGAGTATTAAAAATGTTGAGAGGGCTTCCCTGGTGGCGCAGTGGTTGAGAATCTGCCTGCTAATGCAGGGGACAGGGGTTCGAACACTGGTCTGGGAAGATCCCACATGCCGCGGAGCAACTAGGCCCATGAGCCACAACTGCTGAGCCTGCACGTCTGGAACCTGTGCTCCGCAACAAGAGAGGCCGTGATAGTGAGAGGCCCGCGCACCGCGATGAAGAGTGGCCACCGCTTGCCACAACTAGAGAAAGCCCTCGCACAGAAACGAAGACCCAACAGAGCCAAAAATAAATAAATTTTTTTTAAAAAAACCTCTATCAAAAAAAAAAATTGTTGAGAGACCAAAACCACCAACCTATAATTCCATACCATGTGAAAGTATCCTTCAAAAGTGAAGGAGAGCAACTTCCCTGGTGGTCCAGTGGGTAAGACTCTGCGCTCCCAATGCAGGGGGCCCGGGTTTGATCCCTGGTCGGGGAACTAGATCCCGCATGTTGCAACTAAGAGTCCGCATGCCTCAACTAAGAA